ATATAACAAACACGTTGCTCAATGATGCCTTTAAATTGCATTAAAGCTCACCTCACAAAACTACGGCCCAAGGTATTAACCTTGAGGGCTGTTCCTCAGTTGTTTGCTTTCAGTTAGTACAGTAACATGAACTGCAGGAGACTGAAACCCACTGAGGTATCTCACAATGTAAGTATATGGCAATGGTCTGTTGAGCTTTTCCAGCCGCACCAGAGCGTCACATTAACATCCCTTGGCAGAGCCTTCTGGCTCCCCAGTGTTCCATGACGTATGAGCACACAGCATTGCTAATTTCCCTGGCTCGCCGGGAACCAGGAGCTGTGCACACAGGAAGGATCTGGCTGCCTGTACAGGCTTTGAACAACAGATCTGTCCTGTGCCCACTTGCTGCGGAAGTATTCCCCCTTAGCCTCACACACATTGTGCAAGGCACAGCATGCCACGATAAACTGAAATGTGCTGACCACAAAGCTAGCCGGACAGGTCTGCAGGCATCACCAAGGGGCTTCCAGGCACCCAAAGGTGCATGCCACCACCACTATCCTGCAGCTACCGAGTCTGTAGGTGAACTTTCTTTTTCTGGGGTTGGTGATGTCAGATTAACGTTCCATGAGCCACAGGTAGGAGTGAGTTTGTGGGGTCCCCAGAAAAAACGTCAGCACAGAAATACCATATAGAATCATATAGTTTCAGGAGAATAAAGTCTTTTCTTCCCCTCTGTGGTACAGCCCTGACCTTCTAAGCACATTGGTGTCATGGACCTTTCCTATGTGCCCAGCGGTCGCGCACGAATTGACCCTTGTAGTCCACTAAGCTTTGGAGAACCAGTGAATAGTGACCTTTGTGGTTCATGTAGTCACTGGCCCCTTTGGGTGGGCAAAGTATTGGGATATGTGTTCCATTGATGCTCCTGCACAGTTTGGCAACCCCACCCTCTGAAAACCCCCCTACCATTTCAGGGATTTTGGCTCTGTCAACCACTCATGGGTAGATCACAGTGTTGATACCCTGGCAAACCTGTACAACCACTGCCTCGACAGCTGACTTCCCAACCCTGAATTGGTCTGCAACTGACCTGTAGCTGTCAGGTGTTACCAGCTTCCAAAGGGTGATATCCACCCACTTTTGCACTGGGGTATGGGTTTCCGAAATCAAGTGATTTGGCATTGGAGAGTTGGTGCAAGCTTCTTGTGCAATTCCATGAAGGTCTGCCTCCTCATTCTGAAGTGCTGCAGCCACTAATAATCAGCCCAGCTTTCCAAAACAAAGTGATCCCACCACACCATGACAGTTCTCCAGGACCAGAAGTGGTAGCCCTCCCATGGGCATACCATTGCACTTCCAGCACTCAACACACCTGTTCCTTGGGCTCTTACTGGATTTCATCCCCCTCTCCCCCCACTCAATAAGCTGTCTTTGCTGACTCAAATTTGTGTGGGTTGATTCTGTCCAGTATCCAGTACTGCACCGCAGGAACATTTGTCCCGTGAGGAAGAGCAGAACCACATCTCCATGTCTCCAACACAGTTTGGTAGAAGCGAGAGGGAGCTGCCATTGCCAAATGTGTGAAGGCGGAGTACAGTACCAGCAACACGTAGCAAGGCGGTTCCCGGAGTGTCTCCTGTGATGCACAGGACTCTGGGTTACTGTCCCTGAAACGTTAGCACTACTGTGGCAGACAAAAAAGAGGCAGTGTGAACACAGGTATATGCCCTGTGCACAGCGTGTACCTGTTCCCCATTCAGCATATGTGAACACTCAGCACAGGTATGGGATACATGTGCAATTCAGTACACAGACAAGTACCCAGGGAAGCATGCAAACACAGAAGTAGCCTGTGAATTATACACACATTGTATGCAGTGTTGTTGTAAGTCCCAGGATATTAGAGGCACAAGGTGGGTGAGGTAATATCTTTCATTAGACCAAGTTCTATTGGTGAGAGAGACAAGCTTTCGAGCTTACACAGAGCTGAAGACCTGAAGAAGAGCTCTGTGTAAGCTCAAGAGTTTGTCTCTCTCACCGACAGAAGTTGGTCCAAAAAAAGATATTACTTCACCCACCTTGTCTCCCTATGACACACACATACAGACAGACACAGTGCTGTTAGCTAAGTGGTGGGGCCTATGTGGTTTGCAGAATCCTGTGGGTTTTTAAGAAAGCATTCTTTATATAAAATTAGCTAAACATTTTGCAGAGGTTTTTTTGGACCCTTGTTGTGAATTCCCGTATATGATGTAAATCCGCTTGCCTATTAAGATGACTGCACTTTGACCATTTTAGCACAGAGTGTAACATTCAGCACAATGACAACTGCAGTCTACCTTCCTGGACAAAGATCATTATTGCTTATTATTATTTATTATTGTAGCATCCACTATGTGCTAGATGCCTTCCAGACATTCAGGAATGTCCCTGTCTGAAGTGGTGACCTAGAGCCAGGGCCGGCTCTAGGTTTTTTGCCGCCCCAAGCAAAAAAAATTTTGGCTGTCCCCCGTCCCAGTCCTGGGCTCCTCGCCGCACCCCCTGCTGCCCCAGCCCTGGACTCTTCTCCACCACCCGCACCCCCGTACCTCCCCAGCCCTGGGCTCTCACCCCCTGACCTGCACCCCTCTGCCTCCCCAGCCCTGGGCTCTCACCCCCTCAACCGCACCCCCCTGCCGCCCCAGCCCTGGGCTCTCCCCCACAAACACACACACACACCCTGCCGCCCCAGCTCTGGGTTCCCTCTACCCTCCCACCATTGCCCCCCCAACACCTCCTGCCGCCCCAGCCCTGGGCTCACTCTACCCTCCCACCATTGCCCCCCCAACACCTCCTGCC